ATTTTATAAAAGATCTGTGATTTGCACTGCCGCTAATTTTTGTAGTTGTTGTGTTTTTTACAGAAAAAGACTGGAATTGTGTGGTTGTTGTAAAGCTACTTTACCTTTCCATGTTTTAGTGGGAAATAAGATTAATATGTGTTCTGACATCACACATCACCTATCACCCTCTGCAATGAGTACATTCTATATAATTAGAAATAAAAGAAAATCTTACTTTGTGCTTCATGACAAAATCTTCTATTACTCCAAAAGAGACACACTTCCTGTTGTAGTACCTCCCGTGCTGACAACCCATTGCCCACCTGCCATCAAATTCAAATGATTAAAGTGCAGTTCCCATTTTCTCCACAGGAAAGGTATGTGACTGGCGGTCCGTATAACTAATGCTGGTGAAAACACTTCCAACTTCAATGGCTCACTTAGCTGACGCCTGGATTTCAAGTAAAGACAAAACTGTTGGAAAATGGTTATGTATTTACCAAAATTACCAAATTATTAAGCACAATAGATACATAAATTCAGATAGTGAAGAAAACATAAAATGCATCAAGTTTTAAAGACAACCTGACTATAAAGTTTTGGAATTCCAGCCAAAGTTAACATCACATCTTAGAAACCGCAGAAGCCATAATAATGAATAAAATAAAATGCAGGGTGAGAAATATAGTACATGGAATTAAATCATTAAAAAAAAATAAACGACTAAAAAGAATAAACAAGATTAACACACTTCCTGGTTCCTGTACAGTTTAAAGCATCAATCATTACATTCAATTTTCTTTCTTTTTGGCTCTTTAAACCATACAGGGCACTGCACTACAGGCTGCTCCTCCCACAAACATTACCACTCATACAACAAGCCATTGTCAGAACATTCTCCCTCATTCTACAGACCACATATGATACAAATTCAAAATGCGGTGCTGATAAAAGCCAAAATGGAACGTAAAAGGTTACAACAGTCTCATAATGTTGAGTTTGAGTAGCTGTCAGATTAAATTAACAAGCATCTCAAAGATCTTTCATCCAAAATATAATTTAAGGAAATTCTCAGTAACAAAACTAATTGAGAGGTGGGAAAAATTAATTATGAAGTATGAAATGCAATATGGCTATGAGAAAGAAAAGAAAAAGAAGAGGATACCATGACAAAACTTGCCCATCAATGGAGCACAACATGGTATTTTAAGGGTTTTAAGTTAATACCAGAATTAAAAATTTGCTGGAGAGCTACACAATAGAATTGTACCTATGGGAATATTAAAATAATGCATAACACTAGATAAATTCTTGATAAAAA